ATTATTATTATTATCATTGCTTTTTTTCTCTTCTCTTTTCAGTTATTTTAACTTTTGTTAAATTTGCTTTGTCTATCTTTTATTTCCTTTTATCAACATATAAATACATATATAAATATATACACTAAGTAATAATACAATGGAGATCTTAATATTAAGTAATTAGTTTCAGATCGAAACTATTGTCATATAACTACTACTTGGTTATGATATGCAATGGTCTTTTTTTATGTTATATTCAATTTTGGATGAAAAGTTAAATAATTTTATGCTTGCAATGTTGACATTCTAAAATCCTATTAATATTGATATAATTTTTACTTTTTTCTTCTTATTTTCAATACTTTAAGCTTTCTAAATAATAGAATGTTCATAGCTTATAATCATACTACATAAACATTATTGCATTGAAATCTGCTTTGAAATAATACAATGTATCAAAATTTGTAACATTACCATAAAAGAAAAAGAATAAATTGTAGTTGATTGTATTTTGCAGGTGCTTTTTTTTTTTAATGAACATATTATGATGCTTGGGGAAAAAAAGATGTTATTGTTTGTGCTGGCAGGAGGCAGTCTATGGCCACCAGTTCCATGTCTAGTGTTTGTGGTTTCGATTCATTTTCTGGCTCTAGTTCTAGCTGGAATTTATCTTCCAAAGTTGTCAGTTCCTCGCTCTCCCATTCAAGCAAGGTATTGTTGTTTGAGGGGCAAACAGATGGCTCACCTGGTGGGTTGTTATGTTGTTGTAGCCTCTTGCTTGTTGGCTGGCTGGAATGTTGACTGTTCTTTGGTGGTTCATGGCTTGTCTTCTAATGCTTCTGTGTTTTGGTTTTGTTTAAAGCAGTGTTGTCCAAACTTGGCCACTTTAAGATGAGTGGACTTCAACTCCGAGAATTCCCCAGCCACACTGCGTTCAAGATTTATATTTAATTTTTGGAAGGTTCCTTCTGCATTTGCTGTTACTGGCATTCCCCATCTGGTTTTGTTATTTACTTAGCTCCAGCAATAGCTGTCTCTCTTGATCTCCTCAAGAGGCTCTCGTAGCAGTTAGATAGCAGTGACAGCAAGGTTGATAAAAGTAATGCTCAATACCAGTAGATAAGAATGGAAGGATAAAAGAGGAATAGTAAAATGAATATAATATATATAAAACAATAGGAGATAGAAGATGAAAAGGTGAACAATTAAAAGGGATTAAAAGATTTGGGGGGAGTTTAAATACAGAACTGCTCACCTGTCAGTATCTTGGGTCCTCCCCTTTTAAATGAAATAATAATAATAATAAAAAAATACTTTTTGGGAATACTAGGGGATATGTCCAATACTAGGAGATATGTCCAAACATTCTAGGGGATAAGTCCAAGGGACTTAAGAGTCCCTTGGAGTGCTAGGAGGTCAAACCAGTCAATCTTAAAGGAAATCAACCCTGACTGCTC